TAACTAGTTAATATTTTATTACTTGAAAAATATTTTATGTTTTGTACTATAAAGTAATTAATTTATTCTTTTGTTTTTATATTTTGTTAATTTTATTTATAAATATTTTATTTGAAATATTAAATAGAAATTATTAATGGAATAATTTATATTAATATACTGTATTATATAAATATAATATACTAATATATTATATTATTAATGTACATTATTTGACATCCTGTCGACATAATAGGAAAAACTGTCTTTTTTTGGTTATTTGGACCGATTTGGTCGACATTTCCGAAATATGGGAAATGTCGACCGGAATAATGTAATTTTTATATTACCATCCATTTTCATGTCGGTGAGCCTTGACATCGACATATGTCGGGCGACATTAGCGACATTTCGCGACATTTGAAACAATGGTTTCTTCTACTTTTTATTTGGAGTGAATTTATTTCAACCTTTGTCCACGACTGACTTATTTTCCTCCTGGCCAAGATTCAATGGGTGCAAGAAAGCAAAGATTGTATGGAGCTATATTCCCTTTTGTGGTCTGCTGGGCCCTATGGAATGAGAGGAATAGAAAGCTATTTGAGAACAAACAGAAGAACATTGAATTTCTTCTAGCCTTGACTGTAAATCTAGTCTCTGATTGGGTATTGGTGCATCCAGACTTCAATCAGATTAGTAGAACAGAGCTGGGGGAGAGTTTTTGGAATGTTCTTGAGTTACAGTAAATCTTGATCAGTTCTGTTTTTACTGATTTTTATAGTGTATTGGTGAATATCCATTTTGTTAATACACTTCTAAGTATGGGTCTCTCAGTGGAGTACAGATATGTGGTTTGTAAAGATTGTAGTTTTTTCCTTTTTTCTGCCCTGTTCATAATAGTGTATATCTCTTTATACCTTACTTAATTTAATAATTTTTTAACAGTTACTAGTCAGAAAACAAAATGGTAGGGCTAGGCCTGAAGGGGTGTGGCTTGATGTACAGTGGAAAAGGTCTGAGAACTTGCAGTGAACAGAAGACATGGCCCTTAAAAGAATAGAATGGTGAAACTGGATTTGCGTGTCTGACCCCAGATGGTTGGGTTGTGGCTTTGTTTAGGGACTATGGATTGGTGTATCAAAATGCTTTGCTTTTGTTATATTAATGGAACAGATGTGTGCATCTATAGATGCCTTCCATATACTGATTATTAACTTCTACTTATTTTTTGATGATAAAAAGAAAAAATTTATTAAAAAATAAAACTAATTAGTGCCACCAATAATAAAACTGAATACAGCCATTAATAAGGTGCTAAGGCAACACCTTAATCCCACACAAGGGAAACAGAAATACCAGCACTACAGACAAAGAAAAAAACATTTTTAATCACATTAATCAGGACCTTTCTATGAAACCTCACCCCTTACCACTAACAACCACTCTTCAAAAGAAAAACTTGAAGGACTCCTTTAACCAAAAGCACCACCATTGTTCTTCCCCAACAAATTCATCCTCCATCCTTTCAACTTCCTTATTCCAAGCCTCTCTTCCTTCTCCAACTACAGAATTCTTCATTCTCTCCTCCCTACACCTCCTCTCGGATTCAGTAAAAGCTCTATGAGCAACGCCTCTCCACCCAGAATCCAGACCTAAAGATTTTCCAACCTTTACATCCATTTCAATCAGTTTTTCAATTTCCATACTATCAATCTTCTCTTCTTTCCTCTCTGTTGGATTCTCACCACTGTTCTTTTCAATATCTTCTCCAACCTTCCTTTTATCTTCCTCTAATCCCTCTATATTCTGAAACTTCCCAATGTGATTATGTATCAGCTGATTGTCCAATCTTAAAGTTGTTTCAGTCTTATGATCCATCCCAACTGAAACAGCATAATTATAAGATCTGATTTTAACTCTTCTCTTGTACCACCTTTTATATTTGTTAGTAGGACCTGTCTCAATCAAGCCTTCTTTTAAGCAGGAAAAGAGTTTGGTAACATGCACAATATAGGGTTTGCTTGGACAAGAATTATTATTATTTTTTTTTTGCACTGCCTTGAGCTCAGCAGTTTCTACCTTGTCACCTATATAACTCCTCCGGCCTAAGTCAACTCCCAATTTTCCAATTATCACCTCAGTACAAAGCTTCTCAAAGCCTTTAGCTGCAGAACCATTTTTTTATTGCTGTACCTTGACTGTTGGTATTCATTAGAGTACGACTAACTTCCAACTCTCTTTCATCACTGCAATCCGCAACACCTCTTCCCACCAAAGTCTTGTTACCATTCTCTTCCTCCTCTGCAACTACCTTCCCCTCGTTCCCCAAACCTGCATCCTCCTTCTCTTCTGCTTCCCTAAGTCATGTTAACTTTTACTTCAAATGCAACTTATTACATCAAATTTTTTATCTAGACTAGTGTTTAAAGACATTCCTGACTCTATCGACATTTTATATTACTATATAAAGGGCTTAACTTATATTATTCTTTGTTGATTTTTATTCTTGCTTCTCATTTGTCCATGCACTTCACATGCTTTATCTCTTGAATTTCTAACAATGCTGTGTTTTGACTGCCATTTTTTTTTTCTTCCCAGCTCCACCGTTAAAACTGATTGATTTACCTGGATTGGATCAGCGTATTATGGATGACTCATTGGTGAGTGGTTGCTAATAATACACTATTTGAAAATGAGGGGACTTTTTCAGTCAGTGTTGGGCTTTTGATGGATGCTGTTGGATGCCTTTTTGGCTGAATGTGTTGGCAGAGTTTCTAAATCTGTATGATATTTTCAGATCAGTGAGTACGTTGAACACAATGATGCGGTTTTGCTAGTCATAGTACCTGCTGCCCAAGCACCAGAAATTTCTTCTTGTCGAGCACTCAAAATTGCTAAGGAATTTGATTCAGAGGGTTGGTTGTTTTTTACCTTTTAGCTGAGTCTGTTATTTGAGATTGGCTTCAGTCAGTGAAAGTCAGTGCTCACACTGTTCAAACAGCCTCTCCCAACCTTGTATTGGGAATATCTCCCCATGAAATAAAGCACACAAGTACAAAGATATTCCCATTGCAAGGCTGCAAAGGGTGTTTGAACGGGCCTTGCACTGACCGAAGCTGAACTCCTGTTATTTTCTATATTCAAATATATAAATTGAAATTTTAAAAGCATTATGGAAACTACTTCTTTATGGTAGGTACTAGAACCATTGGTGTAATTAGTAAAATAGATCAAGCTGCTTCAGACCAGAAAATCCTAGCTGCTGTTCAGGCCTTATTGCTTAATCAGGGGCCACGGAGTACATCAGATATTCCATGGGTTGCTTTAATTGGGCAATCTGTTTCTATAGCCTCTGCACAGTCTGGATCTGTTGGCTCTGAAAATTCTCTGGAAACTGCTTGGCGAGCTGAGAGTGAAAGTCTCAAATCTATACTGATTGGAGCTCCTCAAAGTAAACTTGGTCGGGTGGCTTTGGTGGACACCCTTGCTCGCCAGATTCGTAAGCGTATGAGAGTCAGGCTTCCAAATTTGCTTTCTGGGTATGGACTTTTTTAACCTGTCCTTAACTCTTGCTTGTGGTCTTTGTTAATAGATTTCTAATAGATGTACCATCACTCTCATTTTGGTAGCATTGCTGTGGCATGGTTTAAAATGGCAATATATTTCTTGATATTTTCAAGATATATGGAAATTTCATTCCATGGGTGCCGAAATGAAATGTTAGTAGAATTGACACCAATAAAAAATATTACTAGAATTGACATTTTCCCTAGTTAAAACTTATTGGTGCTATGTTGTCTACATCATATTGTATTTCAACATGACAGGTTGCCAACAATGTTCCAGACATGTGTAGTATTATCATTACCCATCTAATGGAGATGATGACCACTTTGATCCAGCTAGAAATTCTTTTTGGATGTGATATTAAATCTATGCTTTTGATCTATTAGAACCATGTATACATTCTTTAAGTTTTAATTTTCTTGAATTTACTTTATTATGTAGTTTTAACTTAGTCTATAAGATGACTTTGTAACGTATTATTTTGTCCATTACTCCTAGCTTCTTGGTTTTGCTTGATTGTTTAAAACAAAATAGTAATCTAATACATGGTTCAAAGTATCGATACGTGTCTGTCTGTATCAGCCGATACGTATTGTGCCAATGGCTTACCGATACGTCCCTCCTGGGGTTGTATCGGGTCAGCCACCGGTTCAGAGGGTAGCTGGGCCTTAAATTGACCCCTCTGAACTGGTTTTGAAAAAAATAAATAAAACGTAAAAAAAAATACCGACACAGGGCGTATCAGCCCGTGTCGATATTTAGAACCTTGATCTAAAAGGGTGTATTTATGCTTCCTTTATCATTTTACAGAATATCCAGCAAGTTATTTCTGTGAGAAGATGTAAAATTTTGCAAGTTTCCCATGGGTCAATAATGTATTCTGCTGTATGTAGTACTTTTAACAACTAGTGACACTAAGACAGCCATTAAGTTCAACCTAATTCAACAAAGCATTTCCCAACTATATAGGGTGGCTACATGTAGGGGTGTAATCGAGTCGAGTATTGGGCTACTTGAGCTTGACTTGACTCAAAAGTTTGGAGCTTGAAACTCAATTCAAGCTTGATTGAGTTTCAAGTTTCCTACTCGAACTTGATTTGAATTGTAAATAAATTAATATTAAAAAATTATAAATAAATTTATATTGAAATTATTAAAAATACGAATATAGTAGGAAATGTGATTATAAATTTCTTTCTACTATAAATAAGTTAATATCAATAAATTAATATTTATTTATATTATAAATAAAAATATATTAAAATATTAATATTCTGTTATAAACTTGGTTTGGTTGTGCACTGCTTGAGCTGGGTATTACAAAACCCAGGGCCTTCAGGCATAGAGGGTGTCCTTTTTTTTTAATGAATGATAATAAATTTATTAATTCAGAAGCAGATTTAGAGTGAGTTCATACAACATCCCAGGGAGAGGCGCGAGCTGCAGCCCCTCCTTTAATCTTACAGGTATAGGGGGTGTCCTGAGAAATAAGGACAGCAACATAATCTCCTTATTCTCAGGACCAGTGGGAGTAGGGGACTCCACAAGGGCAGAAAACCTTGCTGCAGTACAAGGAATTCAGATTGCTAACCAACTTGGGGTGGAGCATCTCTTAGTTGAAGGGGACTCTCAGGTGGTAACGGGATGGATTTGTTTATTTTTATTTATTTTTTGATCAATAACATCAATTTCATTAAATTAAGAGAATAGAGGGAAAGGAATACAGAGGGAGATAAAATAACTTAGCTCCCCAAAAAACAGAAAACTTAGGGAAAGCAAAGAAAATTAAGAACTAGCCCAGAAAACAGCCTCCCTAGTCACTCCTTGCTTGGCCAACCCATTCTAAACCCGGATACTACCATTTGGGGCTACAAAGATCTCTTCAAAAAAGTAAAGTGGTTAACCAGCACTATGAGAGTTGAGGTAAAATGGGTTAGCAGGTCTCCTATCTCTATGGCTGATTCTTTAGCCAAACAGGGGGTTTCCACGGAAGACCTTTTTTGTGCTACTTTGTAAACTATTAGTAATCTGGAATTTGTACTTAACTAGCCCGGAGAGGTTGCAACTCGTGCTTCTACTCGGGGACTTTGTAGTATTGTCTATTGCTCATTAATTAACTTATTTCAATCATAAAAAAAAAGAAGCTCAAACTCAACTCGACTAACTACTTGGCTCACTTGAGGTCGAGTAGCTTGTAAGTAAGCTGCTTGGCTTGCTTATTCCCCTATGTGGATCAATGTTCTGAAAACTGTAATCGTATCTTAAATTGCAGAGAAAGTTGAACTGAACTGAAGCATGGATTGTAAGATTATTTTTATTTTTTATTAAGTTGTAAAAAAATTAAGTATTAGACATACTTGTATAGAATCCATATCTATCATATATGTACCTAAAACAATAGAATTTGCTACTTGTATAGAATCCTAAGATGATATAATCAAGTTTGACTTGGAAGTCAAATAATCCACATACAATGGCTCTTTGACCTACACATGATGGAAAATAAACTTAATTTCCTGTCTTAAATAATGTAAATAAATCAATTTCTAGCAAGGAACTAAATATAAAAAATGACAACGTAGAGAACTAATTTTAATTGAGTTTATTTGAATTGCAGTGAATCCAAGGAATTGTATAAATCATAGGGTTCAAACAAAAATTGTAAGGGTTTTGCAGAAAGGTATTTAAACATGAGATTCAAATCGGAACCCGTGGGATTCATTATTCAAATTGTGAATTGTATCATAAGTCGGAAGATTTTGACAATATTGACTTCGATTATGTTTTGCCATTTTGATCTGTTTAGTGCCATTTAGCTAATCACTAGATGATTAACATTTGAAAATTTCAGCTCATGACTCATTGCACTGTCATTGCACCCAGTTGGGTTCTTTTGTTTGATTCTTTTCAGTTAAGTTTGATTTCAACGTCCCATATGGAATTGCAGGCTTCAAGGAAAATCTGAAATGGTTGAGGACGAATTAGTAAGGCTTGGTGAGCAAATGGTCCATACTGCTGAAGGTACAAGAGCTATAGCTTTGGAGCTTTGTCGTGAATTTGAGGACAAGTTTCTCCAACATATTACTTCTGGTGAGGTAAGTGTTTATGTGTATGCTCACATGTTCAATATTTATTATGTCTTGTTTTGACAATAAATACTTGGTATTTCTGTCAGAGTTTTTTCAAGCTGCTGGAAAGTTGGAGGTTTGAGATCTCCAGTATCCATAGTTGTAGACAAATGCACAGAAATTAGGATTGTGAAATTAGAATTTTGAGAGGAGTGGTGAATATTGGAATTCATATGCATTTGGCAACAATTAAGATGTGGATGACACTTGTTTTTAGTCCTTGGTTTGTAGTGTCTTTTGCATCTCAATCACTTCCTTTGATCCAAGATTGGGGATTGCCAACTGCCAACTAGTGGAAATTAAATTGAATTTTGGTGAATGCTAATTTGGAAAATTAGATCCATCTGGTGATGATTTGTACTTCTAAAGGATCTGTGGAGGGAAGATTTTTTTGGTATCTTTTTGACAAACTGGAGGATTTTCAATGAAGACTAAAGGTGCTACTTGAGCAGGCTGGGCCAGGTTTATGGACAACCCAGGCCCAGCTCTTGAAACTGGGCATGAGGCTTGAACTTGCACTAAGCCCAAGGAAATGCTTGCTCTACCCAACCTAGCCCCAGCCCGAGCTGAAATTTCACATACTTGGGCTGGGCTTGGGTTGGCCTAAATGCGCCTGATGTGAATTGAAAAAAATGATTAACCTGCTATCTTCACCACACAACTGGCAGCAACCCAGCCCTCCAAAGGATCAAATCAAGGATATAATTGGATTCAAATGCTGAGTGGATTGTCACCCAACAAAAAAAATGTCAGTGTTTTTTTGGTAAACAACCAAAGTCAATTCAGAATTGATATAGTTACATTTCCGAGTCCATGTCCAATGAAAGGAAATGTGTATTCTTCTACAATGGTATAATGGTGAAACATAAAGAGTAGATCAGTCGTAATTTGTTCTAACCATATTGCGAATTTGAAATATAACAGGTTAATGCCTAATGCGACAAATCTCCTCTAAAAGTAGTAATACTACTGTGTATAAGGTCTGTGTCTATGTAATTCAACCCCCCACCCCCCCACAGACTGAGGACCGAAAATTCAGGCCCAGCTCATGCAAATCTTTGAGTCGTTCCAGTTTGAGTTCAGGTTAGGCTTGCCCATGTTGAACCTTATTAAGGAAGGAATTCCTCTCCCTACCACAAGGACTGGAAACTGGGCTCCTTGCTTAGTTTTGATAAGATTATGATGCTAGATGACTCTCACAGGTGGTACTTGGTTAGGTTACTTGACCCACTGATGGCTCTTGAGCATTATGTCACCTCATAAGAGAAACTAGATTGTTGGGCTCTAGGTTGAACAGATTATTCAGATGGTTTACGATCTGCAAACTCTGCCAAGAGAGGGAGATGGGAGGCCACAGCTGTATTGGGGGCTTTTAACCTGTGCCAGTTTGTAGCTGTCCTCCTGTCTTTGTAGTTTATTATACGTGTCTTTGTTATTAATAATATTGTGGCTATCTATACAAGAAACAACACATGTAAGAATCCCCTCCATAATAGTGATGGAAGGTCAAATAAAAAGGAAACTTCCAATTAATGATTCGAAAGTGAAGATATATAACCCAAATTTCAAGGTTTTGTATGAGAAGGTGAGGTTTTGGAAGTGAATAGTGTAATATGGCTAAACTTTGTAGTATATGCCCAAGGCTGTATTGCCTAAACTAGTAAGGTTTTGTGAGCTGCTCTTTTGTGGAGACTGGAGAAAAATGGGAAACTCATGTGCTGCTGTCAATTAACGTCTTTTTTGACGTGAAACTAGAGGAATCTATTAAATTCCTACATTTATTGGTGAAGCAGTGGCAGACTTAAAACAATGTGGAGATGGAACTGGGTGAAACTTTCTTTTTGAATTGTAAAGGGGGTGGGGGGGATGGGATTTGGGTAGGGGGTGTAAATGGATGAGTTGAGTTGGGTTAGGTAAGGGTTGAAGGCCAACCCCATCTACCAACACCCATGCCCATTACCACCCATATTTTTAACATGTACATGGGTTGGCAAGGGTAAGAACCATAGTTGTCAAGGCGACGCCTAGGCGACAAGGCGCCCTTTGAAGCTCGCCTCGCCTAATCGCCAAGCAGTTTTCTACTTCCTACTATAAAATACTTTTTTATTCATTCTTTTTTGTGAATATAATTATAAAATAGACATTATTAAACTAAAATAATCATTTTGTGTGTTTATATACTAATTTCTTTTTATTATTTTCTTATTTATTAGGGTTTAATCAATACAAACATTGCTAAATGCTGTATTGCATCCTCAAAGACTTAAAAATCTGAACCAATAAGTAAGGAAGAACTTAAAATTTTACCTAAAATAATCATTTAGTGTGTTTATATACTAATTTCTTTTTATTATTTTCTTATTTATTAGGGTTTAATCAATACAAGCATTGCTAAATGCTGTATTGCACCCTCAAAGACTTAAAAACCTGAACCAATAAGTAAGGAAGAACTTAAAATTTTATCTAATCAGCACATTTTCCTCTTCCATATATTCTTCTTTTACTTCTTCTTCTATTACTACTACTACCAATACTTTTTATTTTCTTCTTTTCCTATAACAAAAATAAGGGTTCAGCCCCTATATTTTTTGAATTTTATTTTCCTTCTTCCTTTTCTTCTCATGAATATGTTGATTTTCTATACTTTAGTATGGAATTTATACTTTTCTTATGTAAATCATGAATAATTATTATAGAAATATGGTTATGGTACTTAGGGAACTACCCTAGGATCTATGTTTTTAACATAAAAAAATCCATCGCCTAGGCGGCTAGGCGACAAGGGGCCTTCCAGTCGCCTAGCCTCACCTTGGCGCCTTGAAAACTATGGTAAGAACATGGATTTGAGTCTGAGATGGCCACTTTGTTTCAAAAAAAATAAGCCAGGCATTATATTTTTTGATAATAGGGGTAAACCCCTAATAGCTAGTCAAGAAGTGCATGTTTCCGAAGACAAAAACACCTGTGTATTTATTTATTTTTTCAATCTAAACAGTTTGGGCCAAAACAAAATTCTTCCTGTTTCAAAAAGAAAAAAAAAAGAAAAGAATAGAAAATAACTGTCTTAGGAGGATGGGTCTGCCTCATTGTGAGAAAGATGTGTTTTTCTTGCCTAATTTGTTTTGTGGATTATTAAGCAATTGTGGGTTCTGATTGCATAGTTGTATCCACTGTAATTGGATATTTCTTTGATCTTTTATTTTATTAGTAATTGTTCTAAAGCATTTTTGAGCTATTTATCTTGCAAATTAATAAGTTGATGTTGTTTTGTTTACCCAGAAATCAGGTGTGGGTGTGGTAAATGTGTTATCGATCACTTGGTTGTCCAGTTTTGAGGAAAAAGTGATAAATAATTGTTTATGTTATTCACAGTTTCTTCAACTACCATAAGTTTGTTCATTACAGCAAGTTATCCTTTCAGGATTTGTGTATGTGTTTGTGTGGGTTGTTGATCACTTTCTTGTTCAGATATTGGAAAATGTGAAGTGATAATTAATTAGCTATGTTATTGGCTGTTTCTTCAACTGCAATAAGATTGTTGATATAGCAAGTTATCTTTTCAGGGTGGTGGTTGGAAAGTTGTTGCAAGCTTTGAGGGGAATTTCCCTAGCAGGATTAAGCAGCTCCCCTTAGACAGACATTTTGACATCAACAATGTCAAAAGGGTATTTACCATGTTATCCAATTTGACCCTGTCCTGTCATATCTTTTGGATGATTTCAAGGAATTTCTCTAATTTTTATTATACTACTAGATTGTGCTGGAAGCTGATGGCTATCAACCTTATCTTATATCCCCGGAAAAAGGTTTAAGATCTTTAATAAAGGGTGTCCTGGAACTGGCTAAAGAGCCATCACGTCTTTGTGTTGATGAGGTAACTCCATATGTTCATAAACGTTAATAATTTTTTTTCCATCTTACTACCTCCATGGTTATGTATGATTTCATCTTATAAAACCTTGAAATATGCCTAAGACTGCAATTTCTATTCTTAAATGTCCTTTTATGCTTGCTCGCCTGGGCATGAGGAAGTCTGTAGGAGATCCCGGTCACATCTTTTCTTATTTCTGTCTTAGTACTTATTTGCATAATATTTGTTGAATATGGAAACAGGTCCACCGTGTACTGGTAGATATAGTTTCTGCTGCTGCGAATGCCACACCTGGTCTTGGTAGATACCCCCCTTTTAAGCGAGAGGTAGTTATTATTGTTTCTTCCGCAATCAAATTATTTTATGGGGTTGAAATTATCATATTAAAAAATGTGGTTGCTTTACTGGATGTTTTTTTTTTTTTTTGATGTCTATCACAGGTTGTGGCAATTGCAAGTGCTGCATTGGATGGTTTCAAAAATGAAGCAAAGAAGATGGTGGTTGCTTTAGTTGACATGGAGAGGGCTTTTGTTCCTCCTCAACACTTCATCCGTTTAGTACAAAGGAGGTATACTTGATGTGGCTACTGTTATTTGGGTGATAAAATCATAAATTCATATGTTTAGTATCCTCCCTAACTTTATGCTGGGACCACCCATGTGATTTGGTTACTGCATCTTGTCAAGGAAATGACTAATACATAATGTTTCTATCATATTGCAAATTATCTTAGAATTTGTTGTCAGATAACTGTATTTTCTGTCCCAGGTCTCTTTTTTAACTTTCTAGTGTTGTGTATGATAAAATATCTTAAAATTTGCCATACACAACTGCATTTCCTGTTTACAATCACCTTAGTTGCTGGTTTTGTTTTTAGTGTATCAGATAAGTGGTAATTTGCCAGAAGATATTTTTGGTAAACAGGGAATATCTGTAATTGATAGTGAAATACTACTCTTAATTGAAGGTTTACTAAATATCATTGTTATGAATTGAAGTCTCTATTGTATTTTAACCAAGAGTAGATAGGGTTTCCAATAAACTGGGTTTGCCCAAATCACCACCTTATCAAATATAGCTATTATTTTATTCTATATGATTACTATAGGTTTTGTAAGTGACAATATAAATAAATACATGGTGGTGGGACCTTTCAAGTACAGGAATATATTGAGGGAGATACTAAAATTATCTATAGAAACTGAAGCTCAATTCAATTGTACTCCCAGATCAGGTAACAATTTGGGTGACAGCTAAGCAAAATCTGGAGTTTCTAGAAACATGTATTGGAGTACAAATTACCAAGCTGGGGAAATGTAAATGGGGTTAACTAAATCTAGTATTTGTAATGGGGTGCAAAGGACAAAACCTGTAATATATATTAGTTTGACAGCTCTTACAAAGCAAAGTTTTAATTTCATACGATTTTCTTCCAATGATAATAAAAAAGGTTGAGACTTAAATCCATAAAAAGGACTGCATAGCTGAAGCCTGCCAAAGTATCAGCCTTTCAACCTTCCACATATATTTTCTATGGAGGAGGCTTTATCTCTAAAGGTCCTACCATTTTGTCTCCCTTCAAACTCACCATATTCCAAAGGATTCTTCCCCACTTGCTGAAACCTCCTTCTTTCCAAGCCGAGACCAAGTAGCTAGTACTTGGAAGTTGTTAAGGGCCCGAGAATAGGATCTCGTCACGGGTCGGTCCACGGGGAAAACCTCCTGTTTTCCCTTGTTCCTTCTTGCTCTTGATGAACCTATCTTTGCGCCTTGGTGATTTGTTCAAGAGATCACCAACTCTCCTAACTCACTTCTTAACTGAATATTCGATATCCTCATTCAATAATGGTGTCTCCTTAAATAGGAGATTACAAGAGTCCTAATCCTAGGGAGTCTCCTTGCTGAATAGGGAGACTTCCAGTTTTATCTTGCTAAGGATAAGATAAGTTAATCCTAATCTGATAAGCAACTAATAAGATAAGATAAGAACAATAGGATAAGAACAGAACAATAAGATATGAACAGAACAATAAGATAAGAACAAGCAAGATGATCTAATCTAATCTGGATGAGACTGCTGTTGCCGAACTGGGTAGGATGAGAATCATTGAATCACTCTTGCTGCTGGCGGTGGGTCAGGTTCCTATTGCTGTCGGCGACGATGATACTTCTTCCCGAGGAATGCGTCCATAACATTACTCCCCTCCTGGATTAAGAGCTTGTCCTCAAGCTCGAACTCCAGATACGTGGCTTGGAACTCTACCAATGGGATCTAGTTGGCTTCGGCCGATGGTAAGCTACCCCATTCCACCAAGACTTCAAGAATACCTCGATTGATATGAGTGCGGGTGAGAGCCTTAGGCTGGGGAACAAGTTTGCCTTCTTTCAAGGGTGGTAGGGAGGGGACTTGGTCCGGAGGAACACCCGTAAATGGTTTCAGCAAGGAGATGTGGAAAACATCATGAATCTGGCTATTCTCCAGCAATTCCAGCTGGTAGGCCACATTGCCAATTTGCTGTAGAACCTTGAAGGGCCCATAGAACTTAGGGGCCAGTTTCGGGGCAGCCCTGTGGCGCAAGGAGCGTTGCCGGTAGGGCTGGAGTTTTAACCAAACAAATTGTCCTGGTTCGAATGACAGTTCCCGGTGTTGCTTGTCATAGGTGAGCTTCATGCGGAGCTGGGCCTGCTGTAAGCGAAGGTGGACGTCGGCGAGGAGGGCGTCGCATTCTTGTAAGGAGTGATCAATTTCTTCCAAGCGAGTAGAACCGGGCTCATAGGACAGCAAGCGAGGAGGGTCCCGGCCATAAACGACACGAAAAGGAGTCATGCCGAGGGAAGAATGGTAGGCCGTGTTGTAACAGTACTCGGCCCAAGGAAGCCAATCCACCCACCGTCTCGGTTGATCCCCTACGAAGCAATGGAGATACATCTCGATCGTGCGGTTTACCACCTCCGTTTGACCGTCTGACCATCGGACTGTGGATGATAAGTTGAGGAGAAGGCCAGGGTGGTGTCGTGTAGCCGAAATAACTCCTTCCAGAAGGCACTAGTGAAAACCGGGTCCCTATCGCTGACGATGGATTCTGGTAACCCATGTAAGCGAAAAACATGCGTAAAGAAGGCGAGGGCAACTGAAGTGGCACTGAACGGATGTGATAGAGGAATGAAGTGGGCATATTTAGAGAAGCGATCTACCACCACGAAGAGGACCGATTTGCCGCCTACCTTGGGAAGTCCCTCAATGAAGTCCATGGAGATGTTGGCCCAGATCTGTGTCGGGATCGAAAGGGGCCGAAGGAGGCCTGCCGGGTGTAGGTTTTCCCATTTATGCTATTGGCATGTGGAGCAATTCTGGACAAAATCYCGAATAGAAGTCTTCATACCTTGCCAATGGAAATCAGCCCGGACGCGGCGTAGCGTTTTCTGAACGCCCTCATGGGTGGAGTTATGGATGCTGGTGATGATGGTGGAAATCAACGGGGAGTCTGGCGGAAGATGTACCCGACCTTTATATAGTACCAACCCGTCTTGAAGCGACCAATTGGAGTCGGCAGCGCCGGACTGGATCTTCTGGACCAGGAGCGACCATTTCGGAGACTGTGGCGTTGCCTTCTTGATGTCGTCTAACAGAGAGATCCAGGGTTGGGAAATTCCACACAGAGCCATCGCGTCTTCATCTCGCCTAGACAAGGCATCAGCTGCGCAATTTGAGGTTCCCGCCTTGTATTCCACCCGGAAATCGAACCCGAGCAGTTTGCTAATCCAATGCTGCTTAGGGGAAGTGGTGAGACGTTGCTCCAACAGGTATTTGAGGCTGTAATGATCAGTTTTGACAACGAACGATCGCCCCCACAAATACGGCCTCCAGTGCTGGACGGCTCGGGCTAGGCCGATTAGTTCGCGCTCATAGGTTGGAAGCTTCAGATGTCGGTCGGCCAGTCTGTGGCTGAAGGAAGCAATCGGGTGCCCTTGCTGCTGTAACACGGCCCCGATACCCATTCCAGAGGCATCGCACTTGACTGTAAATTCGAGAGTGAAATTTGGTAATTGCAGGACTGGGGTGGAAGACAGGGCATTTCTCAGTGTCAGAAAAGCGGCCTCGGCTGCGTCGTCCCACCGAAAGGAATTTTTCTTTAACAGGTTGGTTAACGGGGCAGCCAACAGTCCATAATTCTGTACAAATTTGCGGTAGTAACCCGTTAATCCGAGGAACCCGCGTAAGGCCTTGGCTGATTGAGGCTTGGGCCATTCCTTGATAGCCTGAATTTTGGAACTGTCAACCATCACACCTTGTCCGTGGATGACGTGGCCGAGATAAAGAACCTGTTGCTCCTCGAAGGAGCACTTGGACCGTTTGAGGAAGAGTTTGTGTTGGTGCAGGAGCTCGAAAATGGTCCGCAGATGGTGCACATGCTCTACCCATGATTTGCTATAAATGAGGATGTCGTCAAAGAATACTAAAACAAATTTGCGTAGATGGGGCTGAAATACCTCATTCATCAATGACTGGAAAGTGGGTGGGGCGTTGGAGAGACCGAATGACATGACTAAAAAATCGAAGTGGCCATGGTGGGTCTGAAAGGCAGTCTTCTTCACGTCATTGGGACCCATGCGAACCTGGAAATACCCGGACCTGAGGTCCAACTTAGAGAAGTACTGAGCACCACGAAACTTGCTTCCCATTTAAGTGGAATGTCATTGTGAATGCGCTGAAGTCCCATAAAATCGGGCCTAGGGTAATTAACCATTTGACTCCAAGAACAATATCGAACCCATCCAAGGAGAGTACAAATAAATCAGCAGAAAATAGTTCAGAATTGACCTATATCTGGACGTTCTTACAAATTCCCGGACTGTGAACTCTTTCACCGTTTGCGACGGCTACCTGTAGTTGTGGCCGGAGTTCCATTGGTAGTTTTAATACCGGTGATCGCATGGAGAGAGATCTCCGGCTCGAATACGACGAGTTCTTCTTCATCTTCCTCTTGCTCATCAACTAGGAGGCAAAAAAGCCTCTTGCACACCTGTGTCCTGCCGAGTAGAGGTCATCGTAGTTGAAACATTGGCCTCTCGCTCGGCGTTCTGCCATTTCTGCCCTGGTCAAATGCTTAATGGGTGGAGCGGCCATGTTGCTCCCCGCACTTGTCACCGATCTAGAGGTGGTGGTTGTGTGAGATCTCAGTTCCCGACTGGTTGCAAAAGAGGGGGTCACTGTCGTTGATTTTGGGGGTGCCCATGAGTTCGGTGGACGACCCATGTTGTAGGTCCCGCGGCTGAGCTGCAGCTTGCGCTTGAACGCGCGGGCTAAGTTCATGGCTGTAACCAAATTTGGGGGATTTTGCATTTCGACATCCACCCGCAGGGGTTCTGCTAACCCAGCCGTGAACATGTCCACTTGCTGGTCTGGTTGCACTGAGGATGCCCTCGCGAGGAGGGTTTGGAATTGGCGCTGGTATTCTGCCACCGTGCCGTTCTGTTTAAGGTTAATCAGCTCGCCTAGGGGGTTGCTGGTCAGTGGGGGTCCGAACCTAAGAAGGCAATAGGACTTAAACTGGGGCCAACTGAGCT